TCCTTTGAATTTTTAAGTGTGTTAGGTTATCATTAATTTCTTCTGTCTGCTCAGAAATTGGGAAGCAGAGTACCTGGGGTGTTCTGCAGCCTGAATGCTCTCAAAGCTACACCTCAGTTCTTGGCCCCATGACAAACAGCAAGACAGCACGAGATCTCAGACTAGTGGTGTCTGGGGGAATTTCGGAATTAATGTAATGGTTTTCTTTTATATATTAACTTATTTCATCGAAGAGAACAATGCAGTAGGATTGTTTTGTGTTGTTTTGTTGGTTGTTTTTTCCTGAGAGTTGAGTCATACTTTATTCCCATTTTTTTCTGTCTGAAGAGGACAGCCTTTAATAAATCTGTAGGCAAAGTGATAAACATATAATAAGGTGTCACAGGGATTTTTTTTTTTCCCTCCCACTGCAAATGAGTCAGCAATTAAATTATCTTGAAAGAAAATCAGTCTGTTGTCTGGGTTTAGCTAATGTTTACATTTTAAGAGAGCAGTTACATTAGCGGTGCTCAGAGTGCAAATTGTGTGAGGAGGTCTCCTGTAAAATGAAATGCATATCAGAATCTCTCCCTAAATGACTCTCAATCTGAAATACTTTTATTTGATCAGAACTGCAGATTCCTGGTGATTTACTAAATCAGACAATATCCTCAAATTAATTTTTTTTTTTTTACTGGGAAGACACACTGAAAACCTCAGTGTCAAGTGGCATTGCCACGTGTAATCCAATTCTGGATTTTCTGGTTATATCATACAAATGATGAGACGTGGTAGCGTGGAAAAACTTGGCAGAAATATTCCTGTGTAAATTCGAAGGCTCATTCATATTTTCAGTCTTGCTCTGTTCAGGAAGATTTATGTGACTTGACATTTTTGGGGACTTGTTTTCAAATGCTGCAGAAGGGAATAGGTGGCTGTGCTGGAGGTCTGGTTCCCTGTGTGCCTGCTGTAAACACCTGGTGTTGGTGTTTATGGTGCAGGGGATGGGGTGGGACAGGCCGGTGGCATGAAAGGGACAGGGATGTGTGTGCTGGGTGTGACAGCTGCATTGGTGGAGCTGTGTGAAATGCTCAGGAAACTTTGCCCAGGGGATCGGGTCAGGCTGTGCCTGCAGGGGGTGGAGATCTACCTAGGCTAGAGCTGTAATCCAGCTGTGAATCCAGCTGTGAACGCTCTTGGAGAAATGTGCCCAGTTCTTGTGAATTCACCTTCCCCAGTTCTGTGCTGCTCTTGTTTGCTCAAGCAGTGACTGGTCTGAGTAAATGCCTACAGCCTGTAGAGTAAATAACTCCCTTCATAAATCCAAGGAGACACTCAGTGGTTTCGGTTTGGTGGTTTTTTGGGGTTTTTTTTTTTGTATTTTGTATTGTTTTCAAATTGATCCTCCAGAAAAAAAGCAGATGTAAAAAAGAAAAGTGGTTAAAGCAAGGGAAACAAGATGCATGCATTTAGGGAGCAAGGAAAATGCTGGTGATTGTGATGAGATTGGTAACTCTGTTCTCTCCATTTTGAGTCACTGTAGATGAATTCAAAGTTCACCAGACTGTAGCTTGCTGTTGACTTTTGAAATACTCTGATGCGCATTCAAGCTTAGCAACGCTGTGTTTCTGAGGAGATTCACTGGTGGTAGCAGCAGGATACAGCCAAAATCCTTTCCATAGGATTCCATTAATGGTGTTGTCTGGTTGGCTTTTCCAACTCTGTGATTCATCTATTGCTGCCCTATTTAAATTATTTAAAGAACTGAAAAAGCACAGAGTGTGATTGATTTTCTTGGAAAAAAATGCTAACAAATAGTGTTTTCCTGAAATTTCTTGATGAATTGTTCTCCTCACTAAAACAATGGCAGAGGTGAAATCAGTGAATCAGTGGCAGAGATGAAATAGAGTGTAAACTAATGATAGTAAAACTTCTTGTGCATTAAGTTGGGACTTCTGTAGAGAAGACTGTGTGCACAGAACTGAGAGTTCTGATGGCAGCTGAGTTAAAAGGAGAGAAGCAGCTACTATGGTGAGCAGGGATGTCCAGAAAGCCAGGCTATAATGATGGAGGTAGGGGACTGTCCTTGAGAAGAAATGATGTTTTTGGCAGATGAAAAGAAACTGTTGGAAAAAAGAATTCAAGCTCCCTTTTGCCAACATGGACATCCATGTTTAAGTGCATTCCCATGATACTTGATGTGAGTGAGCACTGTTCCATTGCAGTCCAATATAAACAATGGTTAACTAAGCATAAATTTAAAACTAGACTTAAGTTAACCTGGGGTCAGAATGACTAAGTGTATGAAGAGCATTTCTTGTCACATGAAGTGGCCTTACCAAACTGGAAATCAGGCGTGATTCTCCTTTACTGAGTGAAATGCAGTGTCATGAAATGGAGATCTGGACCCCAGGAAGCAACTGCTTGCTTTTGTGTCCAGGAAATAGGATGAAAGAGGCAATAACAAAGCAAGGAAATAGTTAACACATTGTGAGTGCTGTGAAAAGGGAGAAAAAGTGGAAAGTGGAAGTGGAAAAAAAATGGGGAAGGAGAAACTGTGTGTTGGCCTTCTTTTCCTTGTAATTGTGCATGAAGATGTTTGCTGTGCTGTTGGGGAAGGTTCCTTAGTTGTTACTGCATATAGCTGTTTATCTCTGCAGGTTTTATTAAGCCTTTTAAAGGACCTTTGTTTTCTCCTCCTTTTTTGCTTGTTCTCTCTCTTGTGGCTGCCTCATCCCTGGGAGTGTTCAAGGCTGGGTTGGACAGGGCTTGGAGCAACCTCATCTAATGGAAAGTGTCCCTGCACAAACCAGGGGATTGTAATGAGATGATCTTATTCTGTGATTCTTGATTGTATTATAGAAGAGAGTCTTCCCATTTATTCAAACATCTAAATTTCTTCAGATTTCAATTAGTTTAATTTAGTGATGGCTTTTCATTTTCTCTCTAAGATCCTTAATGTAGGATGTCATGCAGTGTTTAGCATAAAAAAGAAAAATAAAGAGTAGGAATAGGCACTACTGAGATTACAGGCTATAGTGGAAAGACGTTTGCCATTCAGCTTCAATTAAAAATAACATTACTTTGAAACTTTAATAATATATTGCAAACTTCCACTTGATGTTAATAGAGTATTTATTATGTGGTTAGATGTTGGTAACATACAATGCTTGGCTGAATATTTTTGATCCTGCACTTGCTGATTTACTGTAATAAACATAAAGCTTCTGTGACAGATATGATGCAGCAAGGCTCAGATCTGCATGGTGATATCTGCATTTGTCAACAACACCAAGTTTTTTATGGGTTTGGCCTTAAATTGATACTGAATTGTTTGCCTGCAAATGTTTAGTCAATAGAGAACAAATTGTGGATGTCAAATAACCTTCAGCTGTACAATCGGCCAGAAATGGCTGGGTGAATGCAGCAGTGTCTGAAATGGGAACTGCTGGAGCTCCTTCTGCAGAGCAGGACCCGTGCCAGGGCACAGCTGTGGGGCACAGCCCCCTGGTTTGGCCCTCTCTGGGGTCGAGTTCTGCTCACCACACACAGTGAAACGCTCTGAAAGGGGAGCTGGGAGAGTCGGAGGCGTTTGGTGCCACTCTGAAAAACAAGGTGGCAGGTGAGAGGTCAGGGGTCCTTCTCTGTCCTCAAATAAAACAAGGAAAGTGTGTGACCAGTGAGCTTGAGCCATTTGGCCCAGTAAATCAAATGCTTGATGCTTGCAAATGCAAGTTTGAGAAAAGCAAGTAATTCTTTTCTTCCTGGGTGGTTTTGTTCTTTTTTTTCCCCTCTAGTTTGATCTGCTGCTGCTGGATATTTGTGTGTGAAAAAATAAAGCAACCCCATTTCATAAATCAGGAATTGCTTCTGTTTAACATGCTTGTTCAGAGAGCCATAATCTGTTCCTTTGCTTCTGAGTGTCTCATGCAAACAGCTGGATTGGAGTGTGTTGTAAGAGTGGGGAGGTCGGTTGTTCTTTTTTCATCAAATCCTATTTGAGTAAAATAAAGAAAAGCTTTTTGCAGTCTATATGAACGGTCTGGTGGCAGACTTAGATGAAAAGTTTATGTAGTAGCATAATTGTGGCTCCAGTATGAAATCATGATAGAGGAAAATTAGTGCTTGTAGAAAATTGTCATAGTAGTCATAGTAGAAACTCATAGAAATAAGTATTTTCCCATACTTCTGTCTCAAGCAATCATGATAGCAAAAGAAAGGTAGAAAATGACAGAAACTATATATTTTTTTGTCTCCAAAAAGTTGATTGTACATGTAGGTTTTTTCCTGCTCTGTTTTCATATTTCAGCTATGTTGAACTGAACTCTTGATGTCATGTTTGACTCTTTAAATATCAAGCAGAAAGCTCTATGGCATTAATTTTATAAATAGACCTGGTACTCAAAAATAGTCTTATTGATAATCAGCTTTGTCTGTCTTAGTTCTGGAATGATCACTACTTGTTTGTGTAACTGGAAACTGTCATACAGAAAATTTAATCCTTTTTGGAGCTGATCAGCATATAAATAACTAGTCAATAAGAAATGCATGTTTTTCCTGTGTTTTCCTAGAATTGGAATTGTGCTGTGCAATGGGGTTAAGAGAAGCTGTATCTTTTTTCACTAGAATTTCTCTTCATCTATTGCAGCAGTTTCATGGCTCTCCTGTAAATCGCTGAGTCTGCTCTGAAATGGATTTTGCTGCCCTTCTTTTGAGTTCTCCCTGGTTAAGGCACATGATGACATTCACTGTGCTTTGCTGTAATGTCAGTGCTCCACAGGAGATGGGGATCCCTGTGTCTGACCTGGACTGTCTCTGCAAAATCTGTGTTGCTATGAACCATAACTAGAAATAAAGCTAATGATTTCATTGGCATCTATAACTCTGTCATCTATTTGGCCTCATAATCTGGGAAAAAAATGCTACTTTAAATTGTCGGCCAGAAGGATTTCTTGTTTGGATTTTTTTAGTTTGGCATATCAATTTCAATTAAAAATTTTCTCAGTTCTATTTTTAAATTTAAGAAATTGGATGTTTAGGGTTTTTCTTTGGTGCTTTAGGGCCCTAAATAGGGAATTAGGTGTTGACACAAGTGCTGTGAGGAAACACAGATCGTTCTGTGCCGTGTGTGACACCGGATCCCGTTTCAGCCGGGCACAGCTCTGCCCCTCTCCCGGCTGTGTTTACTCAGCCCTCATCCAAGTTAAACATTGATAGCTGCCAGTGGCAGCATGGGAACAGTGCCTGGCATCAGGGAATACTGACTCTGCAAAATGGACCTCTGCTTTTGGGGCTGCCTTTAAGTGGATAGCCTGTGATGGCAACTAAGTTTTCTTTTTCAGCTCTGTTACAGGCCTGGGATGAGTTGGACCTAAATTCAGAGTGAAAATTAAGTGATAAATGACAAAGGCCTGATTGGAAATCTATGAATGAGTCCATTTCCTGCCACTGACTCCAGTGCATTTCCAGGTGGACTTTATAATAATCGGTGCCACGTAGCCCGAGGGTAGCTGTGCCTGGCAGTCTGGGCTTGGGACCACACTTGCATTTTGGGAAGTGTCTGTATGGCTTTTGTGCAAATTGTACCTCTGAAGAAGAAAATAATTTCTTTGTAAACTTAATCACTTAGCAGAAAGGTGGTAGTTGTTAGGGTGTCTCAGAATACCAACTTTCTTTCACTTTTACTTGTTATGCAGGTGCATTTGAGGGGGTTGATGTTGACCTATACAGCCTATTGTCCTCCAGTTTGTGCCTTGCCTCACTGCAGTGGGGATGTGCTGACATCTGTCCTGAGCTGTATATGTAGCACAGGTGGTAAAACCACTTTAAACTTAGCATAGAATCAAAGGAACAATGTTAATGCACAGTTGCAGTGATGGATGACCTGCAGGTGAAATTTTAAACTGCTTGTTTTTTGAATGCCTGCAGCTGGCCCTGACAGCTGCCAGAGCTCAGTTGTGGAGGGGGTTGATTATTTGGTTATTTATTTATTTCTTTTTAGACATAACTGCCGAGTTGCAGAGAGGGGGGAATACTGTAAAAATGTAAATATTTAAATTTCATTTCCTTCTTGGTGACTCTGCCCTCCCTCTTTCTGTTTGGGCGGGAGGATTTAAAAAGGATGAGTCTGTTGTTTCCCCAGCTTAAAACACTTGAACATTCCGCTCCTGGGGTGTCCTCTTGCCCTTCTATCCTCAGCAGAAGCAGCTCACACCTTCAGAAGAAATACAGCTCGGTTGCTTTGCACTTTGTGATAGGAGCAGCAGCACAGCTGCTGCTGTCTCTCTGCTGAAGGAAGATGGAAAGGGAATTAAGTAAACAAGGAGTGTTCGAGTCATCTTTGAGGGTGGGAGACTTGAGTTTACAGTTGATTTAATTTTGAGGATTACTAACTGTAGAATGCAACGGTTTCTTTGTATGGTCTACAAAAGCGTGTGTGCCAGGGGAAGGTGTCCAGGTTCCTCTTGTTCAGTCGGGATGTGTGCTCCAGGCTCCAGGGCAGTACCTGTGGATGCAGAGCAGCCTGGCTGGCCCTGGCACACAGCTCCCTTGGGCTCTAGGGCCTCCGGGAGCTGAAGCTGAGCTCAAACGCAGCTCCTTAGACCAGCACAGCTGTTCAGTGGCCGTGGAGCAGGAGGTGCCACGGTGGCTGCACAGGACTGGGAGCAGTGGAAACACAAGCAAACCCTTTTCCTTTGCAAGACTTCAGCAAGAGATCAAAGGCAACCCTTTAACCTTGGGAAGTGTCTTTCCTACCCAGAGCTGGTTCCACATGTGCTGTTTCATCCCTGGTTTTGATTCACACACTCTCTGAACTCACTTGAAGCTTTGCTCTCAGTGTGCCTTTGCTGCAAGTTTTCTTTCATTTTCTGGAGAACACTTCTGTGCAGTTGGCTTTGAACTATCCACATAGGAGTTGCCGGTCAGAAAAATCTATGTGTTTGTAGTTAAGGTGATAAAAAAAACAAAATTGGGATTTTTGTAAAAAAGCAATATTAAAATTTTGTCAGTCCTATATCTGCATTTATCTTTTATTCAGTACAGAGCTGAAGAGATTAGGTGCTGTATTTTGGAACACCATAATCTGTTATAATCAACAATCAGTAAAACATACCTGTACTCTTAGAAGGTCCTTTTGTTTGTCTGCTCTTACTCTACTTCATCTGGTACCAGAAATACCTGGCCCCATCTCATTGGTGTTGCCCTTCCAGAGTTTTAGCACTGTGAGCTGTAGGGCTGATTCCAGCTGCCTGTGAGTCTAAATGTTTGATGCTGAAGTTGTGTAGCCTTTGGATTGTGTTTTTATTTCTTCATTGTGGTGGGAAGTGTTGGATGGGATACACGAGCACCTTTGATGGATCAATATTTTGTGTTTCTAGTCTGTGCTATAGAGAGGCTATAACTGAAGTGATTCTCTTTGCACAGAACATGCCCACAAAAGGATTTTGCAAAACACACAGAGACTCATGTAGAGGAACATTTTTTTCCCCAGTGCATTGCAGCAGGGAGATATGTTTTGTTCTGGCTCATCAGTCTTTTCTTTCTATTTCATATTTGACTTCTGAGGTGTGGAAGTTGAAACTGCCACCCACAGCAGAACTTGAGGTGCAAAGAAGCTGGTAGTGCTCATATAGATGGGTTGGTGGTAGTATGGGGTCTTTATAGCATCATACAATGGTATCTTTTTATTTTTTTCAATAATCACATTATAAAAATATTTGTAGACTTCCTACTCTTCCTTCTTTTGTTGTACCACCAGATAGAAGGCTGATATGGTAAATTCTGGAAAACAAAGTGATCTATGTGCACCCTTGAGGATTTTTACCTGCTGGAAATGAGGAGAGTTTGATCTTACAGTCAGTTAATTCTCTGTAGATTGTGGTCATCCTCTGGCAAACTTCTCCAGATGTAATCTGGTTCATCTTCTGGTTAACATGCAGAACTGAAGACTGGATTGATAATGGCACCTGATTTTTAGCTTTCAGGGTTTCCTTCCTGTGCTTTGCCCTTTCATAGCTGTTGGCTGAGCTGCTGTCACAGTTTGTTTGCTTTGACCTCAGCCTTTGAGCACTTGGTGCTTTATTGCTCAGCCTTCACACTTCCCAGGGGGAAAAAACATCACCAGATTTATTTCTGTTTCTTCTTTTGCTATATATGCCAAACTGTGGTTTTCCTTGGAAGATTGTTTTCTGCAGAACTCCCTGCCACATTCCCTCTAGTTCCCCAGAGATGTTAATTAGAATTTGGTGTTACAGTCTTAAGAAAACCTACCTTCCTTTGTTCCTTAAAGGGCTGGCTAGTTTTCCTCATTACCATGAGGAAACAGCAGAGCTAATGAGTAAAGATATTTAAAATAGAGTAAGCCCCAAACCTCACTCAGCCTTGCAGAATGGGATGTCTGGGTAACTGTTAGTGACGTACCTTATCTTCTGCTTTATTTTTAGATGCTCTTCTACAACGGGTAGCAGAATTGGAAAAGGTCAATGCAGAATTTCTGCGCACAAAGCAGCAACTTGAGCAAGAATTTAATCAAAAGAGAGCAAAATTTAAGGAGTTATACCTGGCTAAGGAAGGTAAGTCCTTAGTTCTCTGAATTATTCCAAAGTTTATTGAACTTCATCTTCAAATAATCCCGGTATGAAGCATAATCTTTTCAACAGTTATATTAAGAATGTATGAGATTGAATAGGTGACTATTGAGCATCCTAGAATGAACTTTAGAATTAAATTTAAAGATTTACCTCATGGATAGGAGCCAGAGCAACTTGATGTCCATGCAGAAACACCAGCAGTGAGTGTAATACTCATTTCCTGAATTCAGGGTGTGCTCTTTGAGCAGGAGCTGATCAGGTAAATGGAAAGACATAGCCTGGATGCTGTGCTGTTTGTACTCTCTGGCCTTTTTTTTATATAGCATTTATTAGTCTTAAATTTCCATCTGAGGTAGGCTGTAAGCAGGCAAACATTATTAAAGTTTTAATACTAGCCAAGGGCATCTATTTCAATAACACCATTTATAGGAAAATTTAAGTCATATGAGCTCGAATATCTGATGAAGGGTTGGAGAGTAGAGAGTTGTTCTGAGAGCCAGATTGATTTATCTATTTCTGATGATTTTTTCCTGTCTTTAACATATGAAAGCAGAGCCAAAACATAATGCATTAAGATTGCAGCTGCTGTATAAGCTTATGAGAGCAGAAATACAACAGGCATAATGAAGATTGGATCATAAAGAAAGCCTATTTACTTGTGTTTCTAAGGCTGGATGAAAGGAAACTTAAGATACAAGACACTACTGATGAGATCAGCAGTATTTCTCCCATTTTGGTACAGTCAAAAAATATATTTATTATAATTATTTATTATAATAAAATATAATTGTGATAGGGAAAGAAGAAACACCCCAACTTTCACAGGTACTGAAGTGAAAGGACACCAAAGGAGAATATACAAGTCATTACTTTTCTTTTTTTTACTCCCCCAGAAGTTTTTCCCCCTTCCTGTCTCCAAGACCTTTTCCTAAATGTACATTGGGGCTGTTGGGACCCATCTTTAATACTGTCATTTGAAAACTATGAATATTAATGCTACAGAGTCTTGGTTTTTTTTACACAAGGATTAATGTCCTTTTAAGTACTTGATTAGCTCTGGGCTCTATATTCTCTATCAGCACCAGGATTGATTTGGCTTTTTGGCCCTGAGGGAAATACATGGACATAGCTTGGTGTTGGTTGTGTAGTGGCCAGATGGTTCTGCTAAAAGTGATTGCCATTGAAGCAGGCTATGTGGGCATAAAACACATTTTGTGTTAGTGCTTTTGGAATTAATTATATAATATATGTCTTCCAGAGCTGTTTGCTTCAGATTAGCTGAGAGCTCAGTAGGATAATGTGAAATTAGCTCAATTTCTGTTTATAGTTGCAACAATTAGAGAAGTAGTGGGTGTTCCATTGAATGTATCCCTTTTTGTAGTAGAAGCTCAGTTTTACCAAAGTCTTTGGTAAAGAGAGAATTAGGCTGCAGATTTTTCTTATGTGGGCCCTTCAAAGTAGTCACAGAGTGTTTCTGTTTAAGAAATATGAAGTGTTCCATCCAAACTGAGAACCAAGTTCTTCTCAGAAATGAGGGAAAAACTGTTTTCCAGTCTGTTTGTGCTTTTTCCAGAGTCATTACCAGAATGAGTTAAATAATAAGAACTGATGAAAAGCACTGTTCACTTTCGTCGGGTATATTGATCCTGGTTATATCTAGTGTCTGCTGTGTGTCTGCATCCATAAGATACTCCTTTAATAAAAGGCAAGGGCAAGCAAAGTCAAGAAATAGCAATCCCTGAAGATACCTGCCAACATTTGTTCAGTCGTTTCAGGTAGATGCTTTAATACCAGTGCTTCCTTCACTCCCTTCTGTTCTTTGCCATAGCAACTGGGGCTACACTTCAGCTTGAGCTCATTAATCAAGCTAAATGTGTACAATCCTCCTTTCAGAGGACCTGAAAAGGCAGAATGCAGTGCTGCAGGCAGCCCAGGATGACCTGGGCCAGCTGAGGACCCAGCTGATGGAAGCCCACGCCGAAATGGAGAACATCAAGGCCATAGCCACGGTGTCAGAGACCACCAAGCAGGAGGCCATCGATGAGGTCAAGAGGCAGTGGCAAGAAGAAGTGGCTTCCCTCCAGGCCATCATGAAAGGTAACAACCAGGCAAGCTGCTGAGATCAGCCACCCTGGTGTCTTTAGGGATTTGTGCCTGCTCTTCCTCAGAATATGGATAATTGTTATGGCTTGGGAAAGCTGCAGAAGGGCTGGATGAAGTGTAATTCCCAAGGCTGTGAAAAGGAGCTTGATGGATTTTTTATTGTCAGCTTGAGGAGAGAAATTAGAATTCACAGCCATGGGGACCTCATGTATATGCAAAGCATTTTTGAGGGACTATGAATGTGATACTTCATACTTCCACGAAGATAAGTATGATGCCTGTAATTTGACAAGTCTGAAAACAGCTTTAAGCTGCCAGCATGATTCTCTTTTTTCCTTCTGTGTGAACACAGTTTTGCTCTCACACAGCCAGGTGTCCCTCCAGTGCTCACATGGGCCTTCCCCCAGGGTAGTGACTGCACATGCTGCTCTCTCAGTCCTGGGTGGTTTTTTTTCTTGATAGTTCTGATCTATTCCTTGTTATATTTGCACGTTGCACAGCTGTTGACATTTCTGTTCATTCTGAGTGAATGAACAAAAGGATATGAGCTGGGAACAGACTATTGCTACAAATGTCTGTTTTCTTAAGGGTTCACAGATAGGGTCACACTATCCTGAGCCTAGAGCCTGTTGGCTGTGGGCAGTTTTTCCATCACATCATTGTGCTTTTCACCCAGAGCAGACAAACCTCCATGTATATTGTGTACACAAATGTCTGTTTATTTATGATCTACACAGATACATGAACCTAGATTAAGGCTCAGCTGTGCCAGCTGCTGTCCCTGTGTAAACAGACAGCTCCTGGCCTGAGAGGGGAAGTGTGAGTCCTGGGCAAATGGAAGCTATATGAGAAGTTTTAATTTCTTTGCATTTTGGAGTACCTTTTAAAGGTTTTGGTCATTTGTATGGATTATGTACTTGGAGATACAAAATGTGCTGCTAAATAGGATATTAGTCATGTATATTACCTTGAAATTAGGAGTTGCACAGTTTTTGGGGATTGTTTCTCTCGGTTCTCTTGGTGGTACTAATTGAAATTCAATTCCTTTGGATATTTTACTTATGTATTTGGGTTTTGGAGCAGGAGTCCAAGGGAAGGGAGAGTTCACTGTTGTCCTAGTTTAGATTAATTAGAGTAAATCATTGAGTGGTTGGAGATGAAGTTCCTAAAGCTCTGTTCTTTAACTTACATTGAAAATAAGTTTTGAAAATGCTGTTTTCTAGAGACTGTTCGTGACTATGAGCTGCAGTATCACCACAGGATGGAGCAAGAGCGAGCTCAGTGGAGCCAGTACCGAGAAAACATGGAGAGGGAAATTGCAGAGTTAAGGAGGAGACTGTCTGAAGGCCAGGAGGAAGAAAACCTAGAAAATGAAATGAAAAAGGTACATTGGAATGGAGTTCCTCAGCTTCTGTTTGAGGGTAGGCCCGGGCTCATTCCTATGCCTGCTGTAATTCCTCAGCAATTCACACAGCCTGGTCCTGCCAGCTGCCAGCCTTTGTTCATGGAAGTCATCATGACCTCATCCATCTGGAGCCTTAAAGGCTTTGTTCCTCATTCTGTGCATTCAGTGAGGGAATTGCACCTGAGAAGATGGTAAAGTTTTGCCTTCAGCTTGTGAAGACAGACAGCCTTGTAAAGTCACTTGTCATGATGTCAAATGAACTCAAGTAAAGCTTTTAGATTTTTCTGGATTTACTGCAGTTTTATAAAGTTTCCTTTACACTTTTGTACTTTTGCTTCTTTTTCCAGGTCTTAAAAACTTAGTGTCCATTAAAAACCTCAGAATATCTAAGATGTCTTTTTCTCCAAAGTAAGCCATGTTTGTGCACAGTACTGCTGCCTCCCTAGGAGGTACAGAACCTTACTGTCACAAAGCAACAGGCTCTAGATGATGAAAAATAATTGCTCTGGAGTATGGACAGATATTATTGTACTTGTTCAAAGATCTGTGACTAAGGAAAGTTCATAGAAGTAGATTGAGGTGCCTTGTCTTGAGTTTGGATTTTCTTTTTTTTTTTTTCAGGTTGAAGATTTGATGTTTCCTTTCAGACAGGAAGGAAATTGAATCTGTCATAATAGATCTGTGCTTTAGAAAAATCTTTGTTTATCTTATTATAATAACTTGCATTTTCATTAGTTTTTCATCTCAGCAGGCTTACCTTAGTCTTCAAGGTGTTCTAACACAATTTTAAAGTAGTGACTGAACCTATATTCAATAAAGAAGTAGGCAAACATCTGCTCATCTGCCACATCACTGCACGTCCCTGTTCCTGCTTGCTGTCAGCAGAAGAAATGCAGAATTTCCACATGAGAAATATTTTAGCTATTTTTACTGTGTTGTGGCAAGCAATCAGTGTTAGTGTTGCAAAATGGAATTCTTTTTCTGAGACTTAGGAAGAGGTTGCTGACTGTTGCTAGCTGTAGTTGCATTATTGCTGTGGCACTGCTCTTCATGGAGCCCTGGTTTCAAAGGCAGGAGTCAGGGTAAAGCCTGTTCTAATCCCACTGCTATTGCAAGACATACACTGCTTTTAAGAAAAGGTTTTAGTCTTAGTAAGGACAAAAAGACTTTGGTTGAAGCTGAATGGAGATTCAAAACTGCATCAGTGGGGTGAGTCTTGTAGAAACAACCCAGAAGATGCAGAGTTCATAGTGTAAAAGTTCTGACATTGCACTCCCAACTGCCAGTAAACATTTCCAGAGAACAATCTCTATCAACTGATTCAGATTTTTAATCTGAATTTACTGATTGTATAAGTTGAAATTGCAAGCTGCTGACATGGCAGCACAGCTTACCTAAACTCAGTGGCTTTAGTAGAGAAGTGTAGCATAGCAGATAAATAACATTTTCACCTGTAGCCCTTTAAAAGGGAATTGAATATCCCTGGTGATCCTGAAGGAAGAGGTGATCAGTTTATTCATCTCTGCTAACAGGAGTTTGGAAAGCTTTCTAGGCCTGTAAAGCAGAGGAACATGTACCTTATGTAATAGGAGGGGGAAGGGGAAATCTGGTTTCCAGAGTGCAGCTTGAAATAATTGCTTAAACTGCTTTGCATGAGGTTTTAATCTTCTTTGTTATTATTAAACCTGTGAGGTTTTTCTTCAAGGAGACTAAAAATTAGATCAAAATTAGGAAAAGGACATTCAATTTTACCTAAAAACAAACAAGCAAATCCCAAGCCCATAAAAAGGTTTGCTTGGCCAGCAAAATAATGAATATTCATGTGTCAGAAGTGTGAAAGAAGAACTTTCTTGATCACTTGAGATGTGTTACTTGAAGACTTGTGATCAATTCCTCATGTAAAATGGCATTTGCAGCCAGCAGTGCTTGTACTCCAACTTTATATTCTTTTGTCAGAAAGAGTATGTCTGGTGGAACTCATGCTCTTGTCTGGAAGCAGCTGTTTTGCTTTTCCATGTAAATATATTTGAGGTTGCAAATTGCTAATTTCTGTAGAGAATTTGTCTGTTCTGTGATTTTGTATCATAAAGCAATTCTTTCTAAGAAATAATTTTTTAAGAAAACTTTGCAACTTTGTGTTCTTAACCTGCCTTCCTAACTCAAAAAATGTGGACACCTCCCCTTAATGATTAACATGCTCACCTCGTGATTAATTTTTCAGAAAATTGCCAATGATTTATAAAAATCTGTTTTCCTGTTGGGTCCCAGATGGGTCTGGGCTTTTTTGTTTCCACAGCAGTTAAAAGCAATCTACCACAGCAGCAGCTACTTCCCTGCACATTCTGGGGAATGGCTGGGCTGACTCTGGGCAATGACTGCATGGGGATGAGTTGTGCCCAAGCTTTGGCCACTGGCAGAATTTGACTTGGCTATTTTTTATTTTTTTTTTCAACTCAGACCTAATTTTCTGTTCAGGAAAGGATCTGTTTTGCTGTTGGAGCTGAGATGAATATAAATACTCTTCTTAGCACAGTTGTGTCAAATTCTGAGTAGCAGAAGTCTGCAGAGCAGGTATTTTGTGTACAGAGAGAGCAGGAAAGTACAAGGCTCCTGTTAGGAATTGTGCTTATTAGTCAGGAGAGGGGAAGTTGGAAGGGGGGAGTAATCAGATTTCTGTGACAGAGTTGGCCATAAAATCTGATATACATTAAGCTATTTTTGTTGGTAATGGTGAAGAACAGTGGGATAAATATAGAGAATTTTTAAATGGTTTAGTCCTACTTTAAAGAGAAATCTTTGTGTGTTTTCCACTTGTCTCATTTTTAAGGAACAAGCTCAGCTATAATGTTACTTGGGATTTCTCCAGTCACGTGTTTGTTCCTCTGAAAATGACTGGGACTCATTTTTAGCATAATTTCTCCATGGAGTCATTTTCCTGCTGTGGTCTGCAGGTTCTTCAGTGTGCAGCCCCTGTGCTGGGGAAAGCAGGTTTGGCTGGGGCAGAAGTGGTTTGGGTGCTTGGTTTTTGGTTAAAGAACGAGTAAAGATGAGCTGATCATGTGCAAAGCTGTGGCTGTTGACAGCCAAGTTTAATAAAAGGTTAGAAGGAAATAAAGGTTTTAAGGATCACACCTCTGGAAGAGTCTGAATAACACCTCTTAGCACAGGAAATTTGGTGCTGTGGCACCTCTTGCCACATGTGACAGTATCTTTAAGTAGCATTTTTCAACACAACAGATATTTTCATTTTATTAAAAGGTTGAGTGGAACTTTAACCTCGATTTTGGAGTCTCAGTAATTCTGCTTTTTGTCCAAGAGCAGACCCAGGGCCCAGCACTCCTTTTGTTAGCAGAGAGAGGCTGTTGTGAGTGTTTAGCTCAAGATCACACTGACCTTTAATAGGGATCCTTAGAATATGTTGTAACCAGTGTCAAACTTCAGTTCTGTTTACCAAGCAGTAAAAGCTTCAGTAATTTTGCTGTATGTGGAATGTGATACAGTTTTGTCTTTCCAGTTGTTCACAGTCTGGTTTTGCTTTCAGAGAACTTTCTGACTGTTTCTCTGAACTGCTTAGCTCTGACACAGACACATTTGTTGCTCTGTGTTCTGTGGTGTGCCATGTGAAACCAGGCTGGCAGTGAAATATTACAGCAGTTACCCTGAATAATTGGAAAATAATATCTTCTACAGTCCAGAAAATGTTGTGCTATATTTAGTCCATATAAACCAGCTATAGTTAGCATTAAATGAATAGAACTGATATGATAAATGAAATATAAAGCAGTGCCTGAAGTGGAACTCCTGCTCCCATCTGTTTGAAAAATGTGACTGTTGAGTTGCTGACTGCAAGCACCAGGGTCTGGGTGTGTGTGTGACAGTCACATGTCCCTGGTATTGAATTCACTGCAAGTGACTTCCCTTGCTTTCCTCAGGGCTTTTATTGGTACTTCAGCAGTGACAAAATGTAGCAGAAGTAAATGAAATGTAAAGAAATTTAATTTTGTGTTGTGTTCAAAATTTTCTGTAAAGCTTTAAAATGGTAGTGTTTATATAATTGACAGGTACTGCAATAGTATTTTATTTTTGTCTATTAATTTTAAGTTAGAAAACTTCAATGGGTGAAACTATTTTCTATTTTTCTTCCTAAAGTCTTGCTGAGAATACAGTTGTCAATAAGCTCACCAGAAACTGAAAGTCAAACGAGCAACCTCTAAAAGCTGCATTCTAGTCTAGTTTTAAAGCCAGCCATGAGTGTTATCATTTACTGCCTGTCTTTGGTCATCTTTTGAAACTCCAGCTTTGGGGCACAGTTCCTGCCCTCCCTCCCCTGCTGAGTTCCTGTAGTAGAAGGCAGAGAACAGCTCAGCTTTCTGAGCACAAAGCCAGCCCAAATTAGAATGCTGGAATTCTCTGTGCCTTGAAGAGTTTTACTGCAGCAAATATTGGAGTGTTCTGCTGGCTCCTGGGCAGTCTGTGGGAGCTGCTCCTGTCACTCAGGGTCTGTGGTGCATCCCTGAAGGAAAGGCAGAGCATCAAGGAATGGGGATGGCAGAGCCACACGTTAACGTGCAGGTCTGGCTTTGAACCCTGACTGCTAGTTCTCATTTTCATTCTTGGTATTTTTTACATGTCTTTCCTTTTTTTCCTTTCCTTGAAACAGTCCTCTAATTCTGTTGCTCTTTCATCTTCTCAGAGCTACTTTTTGAGAGAAATCATGGGGTAAATTGTCTGTATATAGTTTGCAATATTCAGTACAGTAACACCAAAACCTGCATCAGTAGTAAAGTTGAAAAATGATCTTCTAAAAGAGAACTGAGCTACACTAGGCATTACTGTGCAGCTGCATTTGCTTTTAACTTTTTGAGTAAGTAATTGAATGGTCAGTACCTCATCATGCACTTCTTTAGGGTTTTTTCCTATGTGCTATGTGGCAGCAGGTTGTGGGACAGTTAGGCCTTTAATAACAGAAAAGTGCACATTTTTTAAAATGCTTGATCCATGTATTTTCTCCCAGGCATCGAGAGTGATAGATTTGCTAACATCCTCTTTTAAAACAGATATTTGTGGCTTAACCCATACATAGATTTCAAATTTAGTTGCCTTCTTTAAATGGAGTAATATCAGCCCACTGTCACAGAGATGGCTGCTGAACTAAATAAATAGCAGTAAGATGAGCATTGAAAATGGAAGTTTAGTCAGCTTCTTTTGTTGATGTAGAGATTTTCTCCAAATGCCTCCAGCAATGGGAACTGTTGTGCATTGGTGATGATGAATTACAATTTATTGTCTTAACTTCAGGCTCAGGAAGATGCTGAGAAGCTGCGCTCGGTTGTGATGCCCATGGAGAAAGAAATTGCAGCCCTAAAGGAGAAACTGGCAGAGGCTGAAGAAAAAATAAAAGCAGCATCAGAGGTGAGGTGAAGCTCTAACTGGATCCTGATTTATGTCTTGCAGCATGCTAGTTTGATGCAGACAAGTCAAATTTTATAACAGAGAAAAGGTGCATTAGGAAACTCTTCATGCCCTTGTCTCCTGTAGCTCGAATGTCATGTTTGGCCTAAATACGTTTTTGCATCTTTCTGTTTTGAGAGTTGCAGTGTGTGTGTGGGATCAGGATTTAGGATAAATTGCACAGCTCCAGGTCTCCTAGTAATAGAAGAAGCTCTAGAAGAATATCTGCTTTGCACCTCTTGCAACCACCTGGCCTCTGGATTATTGTCACACTTGGAGCCACAAAGTCAGACTTCCCCATTTGAAAGGTTTCAAGGGTAGCAGATGGAAGGTTTGGTGTCCTGGGGCAGGAAAGCTGTCCCCACCATCAGGGGCAGTCCCAGCCCAAGGCTGTCCTGAGCCCTGGCCTGGCGTCAGTGTGTCCCATGCTGTGCCATGCAAGATGAGCAGCAGCCCTGTGCAGCCAGTTAGGAATTGCCTGAAGGCTTTGGTTTTCTCTGAGATAAAACCTCCTGTGATTTCTGACTCAGCAAACCATAAAACTGAATAGTGCCATAAAGAAATCTTTCCATTTATTCCTTGTTCCAGGATGGAATCCGTTTCTCCAAGCAGCATGTCTGACAGATTTTTATGTAACCCTGTCTTAAAAGGTTCTCACTGGAGATTCTGCAGGACACTCATTCCAGTTCTTTGTTAGCTTTGCTATTAAAAAAAAAAAAAAAAAGAAAAAAATCCAAATATATTTCTTCAGTATTTCTTGATATAATTGCTTTTTGTTGATAGATTTTCCTTCCTTTTTGTAACAGTCTTTCACAAGTTGGAAAGTTTCTTTTCTTGTCTGTCCCCAAGTTTTCTCTTAGGCTTACTTTGAGCTTGCCTCATAGTAATTTTTTTTTTACTACTCTGATTACTCTATTTTGAAATAAGGAGTTCTTGGTTTATCAATACTTATCAGCTCTTTAGATCTTACCTATCAGCACTGATTACATCACAGTGAAGTGATCACTGTCTGCTTTCCTGAGATATTTCCCTTTTGACCATCTCTGCTCAGTGCTGTGATCCAGTTGCTGCAGCTGTCATACACTGATAGGTTTGACTTAGCAAAATTTTAATGAGTAACTCATTCACAAAATACAAGCATTGCTTTCACACTGGTAGTTGAATATTTGTGACTTCTGCAAATAAACTGGTCCTTCAGCACCTGTACATTACCTGAACAGGCAGCACTGACTTCTAACAAGAAGGAAGTGTCTGAGAGTGTTCCCCCACTGAGCTGATTATTCCCCTCTTTTTTTATTCAGGTTAAAGAGCTGAACCATTATTTAGAGGCTGAGAAGTCGTGTAGGACAGACTTGGAGATGTATGTGGCTGTTCTCAACACACAAAAATCAGTCCTGCAAGAAGATGCAGAGAAGTTGAGGAAGGAGCTGCATGAAGGTACTGACCTAACAACAGTCCTTTGACTCTCTTCCACTGAGGATGCAAAACTCAGTGGAGCTGTGAATTCTTTTATCACTTCTTACTTGAACTTGATTAAAAGAAATTGAGAGGAGGAAAAGCAGCACTTTTAAATGTGAAAGGCCATAAAATGTTTGCAGAATTGAATGTGGAGTTTGCTTAGGACAAAAAAACAACAGACCCGTTCATTTCCTCAAGGTTTATTATTGAATATCTGCTGAATTCATAAAGCTTCATTCTTGCTGAGGTGATTTTAGGTGTGTTTTGTATTTGTACATAATTATGAGCATTATTTCCATAATGTATAGACCTGGCTCCCTGAGGTGTGGCAGTGCTGAGTGCTGGAGTGAGTGTGGAAATATCTCTGTAGGGCACTACAGCCCAGGGGCACTGCAGGGGAGTGAAAACCAGAGCCTGCTGAAGGAAATTGAGATGTAAAAGACAATCTTCTGAACCCAGCACTAAGAAAACCCCAAAACTGTTAGAATTCATGGATGAAGTTGAGTCTTCTCACTGAGAAATCTTGAACTGTCAATAATACATCCCTAATCACGAGCCAAGTTTGGAAATTAAGAAAATGGTATTTGAAATAAGACATTATTAACCTAAATAGTTGTTGAACAAAGCCTGGCTGTTCTTGATTAGACCAAGAATTACTTTTATTCCCAAAAATGCTTCTCATTGGAAAAGATATTTCAACACTTGTGATTCAGAAGAATTTTTTTCTCTGTTTGCATAGTTTGCCATCTCCTAGAGCAAGAGAGGCAGCAGCACAACCAGCTGAAGCACACGTGGCAGAAAGCCAATGACCAATTCCTGGAGTCCCAGCGCCTGCTGATGAGGGACATGCAGAGGATGGAAATCGTGCTCACCTCGGAGCAGCTCCGGCAGGTGGAAGAGCTGAAAAAAAAGGATCAGGTTACCTGCTGCTTTCTTCTTTTTTTTTTTTGCTTTTATTTTTTTTTGTAATGCTGGAAGTTTATTGTGATGTAACAGGTGTGGAAATCACATGTTGGAGGCAAGTGTGGTAATAGTTCCAAAAATGAGAACTGACAGTTTTAACTGAAATCTGCACTTTGAATGACAGCTGGCAGTTATAACAGACCTCATTTGGACAAGGATTTTAATATTGGTGTGTATAGGAACTCTAATGTTGTCAATAGTTAAATGAAAAGCTAAGAATATCCAGAAATTAATCTTGGAGGAAGAAATCTGTGATGCAAAATGTCTGAGTTAAGGATGTCAGCAAGTTTCACTTCTTTCTAGTTTTTTTTCAGTCTTCCAGTACATATCCTAGGAATAAATTAAGACTCATTTCAAATCATCTTATGCATCTACATACTTATGACTTAGTGATCTGTTATGGTTTTTTTCTTTTTTCCTTATATTCCATCATTGAGTGATCAAGGCACTTCCTGTTTCACTTTTTAAAATGTTCATTTAAACATATGCTTGTGTAATGCTGCTTATGTAATGGCTGTTAATGGGTCCTTTAGGGGTATAGATATGTTATATATTTATATTTTATACAATAGCCCATGTACCAGCTGGTTTTGTTACTAATCTTTATAATTACAAGTTTAAACTGGTAATATTCTTTTTAATAAAATCATTCTAGAACATGAATTGACCACTAAACTTGCAAAGTAAGTTCTCACTTACGTCAGTTTGGGTGCCTTGTGAAATGAACACTATATCTATTAACTGAAAGGATATTTATATGCTAACCACTGGGTTTTAACCAAAATAATCCTTTTCAGTGTCTTCTTGGCAGCTTAGTTTATCATGAAAACTGATAATTCTTCAGGTTTCATGATAAAAAGCTGAAGTATGACTGCTATGGCAAAATTGAATCCCATTTTCTGTGTATGCTCTGTTGACCACTGATTTTTAGGAAGAAGATGATCAGCAAAGGCTTAGCAAGAGAAAGGAAGAGAAGCAAAAAGATTCAGATGATGAAACAAAGGCTTCGTGTTCTCTGGCCCCTGAAGAAACCCTTACCCAGCTCTCTAATGAAGAGGTGAAACAATTGAATCTTTCACTTGCACTTGGGCATTCCTCAGGGTCTTCAGTGCAAATACAAATGCAAAGTTACAGCCCTCTATTCTCTGTAGCTTCTAATCTTATTAGGCAATAAAATATCCTTGGAGTTGCAGTTGAATCTATAAATCCTAATTAAGATTGGAAGACAATACTGCACCATCCTGAGAGGTGCCATTAAAAATGGTAATTTCCATTTTGCATTCTGCAGGTTAACTGCTGGTGGATTCTCCTGGGATTTCTAAGCACGTTCTGACACTCCTAAATGTTCAGGATTAAGCCAATTATATCTGAACATTCAGCAAGAGTGTTGTAGCTACTTTGCTAACCAAATTAATGAATTCTCTACTTATCATTTCTTGGGGTCCATTTTGGTTTTGTGAGTCAAATGAAGGAAAAATTAATAAAAACCCACCAAGTTTTTGTGCTATAGGAGCTTACTTAACCTTCAAGAGACTTGAGAATTTTCAGAGTGAGCCCGTGTTTTGCCTAGTTTTTTATCATTTTTGAAGGGAAAAAGATGCACATACTTTAATATATGCATATGCTTTAATATATCTATTCTGAAGTAATTGCTTTACTTTTATCAAGGATTTATAGCAGTTCAGAATGCAGAAGGATATACAGAATCATGAGATCTGAATGTAGCTGAGATCTAGTTCTACCCTTTAGCCTACAGTCACTTTCTGTTTCAAATGCTGTTTGTATCTTCCATGTCCAGATATGAAAATGAGGCACGTTGATGAGGAACAAAAATTTATCTTCTGATGTTTTCTTTAATCTCAGTTCATAACACATTCTTTAGTCCATAATTCACAACATTTATTTTGTTCCAAGATTTATACATAATGAAAAATTTATATTTTGGGAAGGAGCATAGTTTTCAGAGGGATTTGTATGTGTTCAATTTTGTTATTTATGACCTTTTTAGCTGTTCAGAATGTGTTTTATATGTTGTAATCAGTCATATTATTCATCAGTTCTTACAGCTTGTTATATTTTTTTATAACTTCCAAGATCTTCTCTCTTGGGCAGTTTGCAGTACAAACAGATGATTTGTTAATGTTGTTTTGGTTATCACAAAACAGCTGTAGCCTGAAAATGCAGATTTATGTAAGTCTGTATTCTCTTGACTTTTTTTATTATGAACTTGTATATATACATCCATATATAAATATTACACCTTAAAATGATTAAAACAAGGCATTTACAGCAGTCATAAAACAGTAGTACATAATATATATATCTATTATAGGTTACAAGCACTTATATGAAGTGCCAGCAGCCTGTTGGTCTCTGGACCTATTTCAGAAATGATAATTTTTCTCAAGAGGCTGGTTCCAGTTTTACTTCCTTATGTGTCCAATGGCAAAGCAGAAGTGTATAATATTTTGGAAGGTATTTTGAAAGCAGTCATGTGCTTTTTAAATAAAGCATTACTGCTCTCCTTTCAGTGCTACAAAAAACAAAAATAGATCGAGAGGCTCCATATGTGTGATACACATCACAGGACAATTTGTGTGGCTTTTGGTGCTGGCATTCCCCAGGACACCATTGTGTCTAAGCCCAGCCTTTTCCCTTTTCTTTTTATTTTGTGTACAAATAATCTCATGGGGAAAATATTCTGGTATTTTGTCAGACGCTCGAAGCAGAAGAGAAAAATAGAGGAACAACATACACCTGTCAGTACAGAGTAGATTTTAAGTATATTTTTCTCTGTTTATTTTTTGTTAATGCAAAGTGTTTTGGTTTATGAAAGACTTCTGAATTTCCTTTTGGAAGTATTTGCCTTCTGTTTTGTAGGTTATGATTGTAGAGGGGATGTTGCAAGGACATCTCTTCAGGGGAGGCATCTTGCCTCAAACATTGGAAGATGGAAAGTCTTACAGAAGCACTGAGTTAACAGAAGACTTTCTTTACTTGTTTTGTTTCTGAATTCTCCCTGGTTCGTTTCTGTTCTCTGTCCCTTTCTCTGTGACCTTAAACTTAGATAACAGATGTTCTTGCCAAAGAAATTTAAACTTGCCTTTGCCGTGTCTGATAATTGAAATGGAGTAAATAATTGTTTTACTCCTTGATTTTCAATTCCAGGTGCACGTGAACAGCACCCATGGCTCAGTCCATTCCCTGGATGCAGACTTGCTTCTTTCCTCTGGCGAATCCTTCAATAAACCAGACTCTGATATGTTTAAAGATGGACTTCGGAGAGCACAGTCAACAGACAGTCTGGGCACGTCTGGATCCTTACAGTCCAAAGCTTTAGGATACAACAACAAAGCAAAATCTGCTGGGAACCTGGATGAGTCGGATTTTGGACCACTGGTGGGAGCAGATTCAGTGTCTGAGAACTTTGATACGGCTTCCCTTGGATCCCTGCAAATGCCGAGCGGGTTCATGTTGACCAAAGATCAGGAAAAAGCAATCAAAGCAATGACACCAGAGCAAGAAGAGACTGCTTCCCTGCTCTCCAGTGTCACCCAGGGCGTGGAAAGTGCTTATGTGTCCCCCAGTGGGTACCGCCTGGTCAGCGAGACCGAGTGGAACCTGCTGCAGAAGGAGGTGAGTGAGTCCTGTGCCCCTGCCATGGGCAAAGCTCTGCCTGCTTTGCTCTGCCCAGAGCCAGAGTGAAACGAGGAGGTCACATCCAGGGCAGCAGCCGTTCACTGTCCCCTCGTGGAATGCTCCTGGAGGTAGAGCACATGCAGTGTAAGGTGCTGGCCCTGCTCGTGGGACAGGCAGCTTTACTGAACACGAGATGTTTGGGATTTTGAGGAGGGTGTGGCAGAGGGGCTGTTGAACTCAGTATTGTCTGAGAGGGGGGAAAAGCTGGGAGAACTTGAAGAGTAGGAGAAAATGGGAAGTTGAGGAAAGGGCATTACAGTGGAGCTGGGGAGATGAGTAGGAGAGGGCAGAGAGGAGCAGAAGCTGCAGAGCTGGGAGTGCTGCTCTGTGTGCCAGGGCCTTTGCTGAGGGCTGTGCTCGGGGGCACTTTGGAAATGAGAACTGTGCCCAACACACAAAGCACCACAGAGAGGCTCCAGGAAATTGTTGGGGACTTGCATCATCAGAAGCCCATTTCTGAGAGCCACAGGCAGCTGATTAGACCAAGCCCTGGGCCATTGCACTGTGGATGACCAAGGAAATTGTTACTTCTGAGTGTTCTGCCTGTCGGTTTTTCAGCAGCTTTATATGATGCCAGTCAAAGCTTGTGCTTCGTTTCTTGCTGAAAAGGGGAGTATTTGGGGTTTCCTGTGGTTTCTCTTTCAGAGGAAGAGAGGCCAAGGAGCAACACTTTAGGAGGAAGATAATAATCCATACTGGTTAAAAAGGGAGGCAAGATAGGAGTAGAAAAAAAACATAAGAATGTAGTGAAAGAGAAAAGACCAGATGAAGGACAAGTTAAATGCAGAACTACTGATTTATCTTTTCTCAATTTGTTGAAATATAACTTAGTGCAGATCATTGCTTAGGAGGTCTTTCCAAACCTGTTGTAAAGTTGCTTTGTTGCTGTTGTTGTTTTCCTACTGATTTGCTGTATCTGGAGAAATTACAGCGTCCTAAGCTCAGAGCTGAGTTAAATCCCTACTCTTGAGTGGTTCTTTGCCCTGTTGACATTTTCATGACACTTTTCTTCAGCCCAGTCTCAGAATCCAGAACAGAAATGCAGCTTCCTACATGTTCTGGAGGCAGGAGCACACACTGGGGTGTGAATGCCTCTTGCTGTGGGTTGGACGTGGAGCAGCAAATACAAATACAGATTCAGCTCCAACTTGACCTGCAGCTGGAACTTTGAGAAAACTTCCATTTGTCCCCTTGGCCAAAACCATTGCAGTTCCAGAATGACAGCAGGTTTACTCTTGGTTTCCCTGCTGCCCACCCCACCACTGTTATTTCTTCTCTCCTGTTTGTCAAAAGGACACAATAGTGACTTGATGAACTCTTTGTGTCATGGCTTTTTGTGCTGATGGTGGGAGCCATGGCAGGAAAAGCTGATATCCCACAGCTGATTTGAGTTCTCCTTCACTTTTACAACAGCTCCACCCTGCCATTACACGATTCTGCCCCTGTCTTTTGTCTGCAATGTTTTGTGGCCACACAGCACACTTGGGTGTGTGTAGCATTCCTGCATTCCCTGGAGACTTCCCTGGGCTCATGCAGGTGCTGACTCTGTGTTGTGCAGGTGCAGAATGCAGGGAACAAGCTGGGCAGGCGCTGTGACATGTGCTCCAATTATGAGAAGCAGTTGCAAGGTATCCAGATCCAGGAGGCTGAGACCAGAGACCAGGTGGGATTTCTCTCATTGCTTTAGCCAGGCTTTTGCAGCTTTTTGAACAACTGAGGGTGCAGCAAACAACCATCTGCTGTTTTATTCACTGGTTTTAATTGAGCAATATCAACATACTGCATAACTGGACGTGTTATTGACATAACTTGATTTGTTATTCATGTGTGGTCGTGAGCACCAACATGTGCTTGTTTCTTAGGGATTCACCTTGAAGAACCCCTTTATTTGATGCTGTAAGACCATGCATTAAAGTATTATGCCCATGCTGAAGTCAGTATCTTTAATAATTTATATTTTAAAATGCTTGTCATGCATTAAATTCTATTATCTTTGATAGTGTAAGAACTGTTAACAGAAAAGGACCTCATCCTAGCAGCATAAAATGACTTTCAAGTCTTGGAGGATATTTGTTTCCTGCCATATACCAAAGAACAATTTTCAGATGGGTGTGGAAGGCATGAGTCACATTCTGCTTTGAAATAAGTGATTGAAGTCATTACATGGCCATGCTCCAGAGCAGTTTGATGTCCCATGTTTCCTTGGAGGGATAATCTCTGCTGGAGGGTATTTAAACAGCAAAGGAACTTCTGGGTTGCATAGGATTTTGAGGGATTTTATGTTGTGGTTTGAGGAGTGAAGGGGTTCAGGGGTTTCCAAGAGAATGGAAAATGAATTAATTTTGTTGTGACAACACAGGTGAAAAAGCTGCAGGTGATGCTGAGACAAGCAAATGACCAGCTGGAAAAGACAATGAAAGATAAACAGGAATTGGAGGATTACATGAAACAAAGTGCTGAAGACTCCTCTAATCAGGTACAAGGATTTGGTAATCGAGATCCAGGAGTGATAAAATATTATTCAAAAATATGTAACAAGAACTTGTGTTTTGTTAGATCTGGATGAGCTACTGGTAGAAGCAACACAAATGAGAATTTCTAGAGTTAGTTATGCTCCAGCTGAGTCTGCCACAGTTTCTAGATATATCTGTTGTGTCTCTAATGTTGTGTTATCCAATTTTGGCCTTAAAATATAATCTCTAATCATGAAATCCATTACAGAATGGCAGTAGGAATTTGAGTAATGTTTGAGTTTTGGAGTGACCTGTGTCTGAAATGACCCAAACATGCAGAGGGAGCCTTGTGCTCTGGGCTCAGCCTTGGTGCTAGAAGGGTGGTTCTGTTCCACCACCTGCTATTACCAATACTTGACACCCAGTTAATGGAATTGTGGTGAAGAATGCAGTAATGAGGAGCTGAGCAGGCATTAGCAGGGCTAAAACAGGTCCTGAACTCCTGTAGAATAACAGCCCACTGGAAAGTTTCTTGAGTCTGAGATGTGTACCTAACTCTTCTGGAACAGTGAATCCAAATATAATAGATGGTAGTCAGAGTTAAAAATAAAAAGAAGGAAAAAAGTAATCATCTTTGGCCTATTAAAGCTTACAAAAGTAGGTACAAGCTGTGTAAAAGACTGAATTTACTTCACTTGGGCTGGGATTTTTTCTCTTCCATCCCATCCAGTATTTTTTCTTACTAAAAAAACAGTCATTAGAAAAAGTCCAGCTTAGACAACAGGAGTATGTTTATATGTTCTTCTGGCTGTACCAGGGTGCTGTTAATTAAGTAATGATTAATCTTACATGTGTTGTTGTGGAATGATTTGTAAAGTTTCTGAAGGTGAGTGGTTTCAGAGAAAGGTATGAAAATTCAAAAAATGCTGAAAACTTAGATAGAAGCTCTTCAGTTTCCCTGCAGTGTCTCTAAAGTGGCTTACATGTAAATTTTATTAGAATCGACTGTTGTTTCAGAGTTTGGTAAATAGAATATAAAAATATTGTTGGTGCAGAAACACAGGATCTGTCCTTACTGCCTGGAGCTGCTTTCCTGCTTTACTGAGTGAAGAATTAACATAAACCTCAGTGGTTTAGTTTGAAATTTCCAAGTACCTATTAGTAAAGAGAACAGGCAAGAGAACTTATTTCTTGTTCAGAATCTGTTCCATGCTTTACTTCTTACAAGTGTGTCTGTGTTTTCTTCCTTTAAGATCTCCTTGCTCATGGCCAAGTGTCAGAAGTCAGAGAATTTCCTCAGTGAGCTGCAGCAGGCCTTTCTGCAAGCCAAGAGAAGTGTCCAGGAGCAAATGGTAAGCCAGGTTAACTGCAGAGATCCATGGCCAGCCCTGTTTGTGTGACCCTGGGAGCTCAGTGTCTCTAAAAGGCTTTGTCTGCCCAGCCAGGGCTGGCTGGAGGGGGCTGAGCATCTTCACTTGCAAAGGGCCTGGTCCAGTGAGCTCTGATGGCAGGAGCTGGAGCTGTTTGTGTCATTCTGTGCTGCTGTCTGTGTTCATGCACATCCAGGAGCATGGAGATCACAGCTTCTTTTCTCCTTATTCATCATCTAATGCCATGTTTCTTTGGTATCTAAACTTCACCTCAAATCTGAACACAGTACATTTTCTCAAGACTCTTTTTTAGGATTCATCACAAGTGCCATCATTAGTGAATATTTTCTCGAGTTTTAAAGATGAATGATCAGTATTGCTGCAGGTTAGACTGTATTTTAAATAGCAGCCCTAAAACCCAGGGAGAGATATGTATGGGAACTTAATTTTTTAAAACTGTTTTTGAGCATCTTGTTGGAATTAAGCCAGAGAATAGGAAGAGGACCTCATGTTCTAGAACTATGTTTGACTTCCTTTGGGCAATTAGTTCCTTTCTATAGCAGAATCAAGTTTCTTCTTTTTTCCTCCCTGGCACAGCATTTGTGGAGAACCAAGATAATTCATCCTCATGAACCCCAGTATTGCATTTTTGGGGCCTGGGATTGTGTGTAGCACATCAGGACATTGCTGGCAGAGATGCTCTGCATGAGAACACATCTGGTGGATGTGCAGGAGATTCAGAAAATGTGTTGATCTGAGTCTGCTTCTCCTCTTGCCCCCCCTGTAACACAGCTCCTGCCATTGCTCAAGTCCCTGGTTCCCCATTTCCATTCCTCTTGGAAAACTGCACTGGATTTTATTTCTTTTGTAATGTAAGCAAAACCATGTCCTCTTCATCCTTTTTCTTGCCATGGGATCAGCTGTTCTGATGCTCTCCTGGGAGGACAGTGGGAGGCAGACACCCACCATGGAAAGTTTCAGGGTGAATGTTTCAGGTTTTTGGATAACCTGCTCTTACAGCTGAGTGCTGAGGTGGTGTTAATAAACAGCCCAGCCAGCTCCTGCAAGCCCCTGTGATTCCCCACTCTCCTTCCCCTCCATGAGCACAGCAGCTAATGGATAAACACAGGGGGAAAGTGAGAGGCTGAGCAAAGCTGTGTTTATCACTCCTCCTCTCTGCCTGGACACTTAAACTTGACCTTACCTTTATTTCTGGTGCATAGGCCAGGCAAGAGGGAACTGGTTGTGTTGATTCACAGCAACATTTTGTTCCCTTTCTTTACAAAGAATATCAATTCACCAGACTTTTGAAAGTAGTGGTAGTAAATGGGGCAGAAGAGATCTGAGCATGACCCTGAGTGTGAATTTATGCTTTTTTTTGCATTGTAGGCTGTCCTGACACAGTCAAGGGAGCAGGTTTCAGAAGAGTTGGTGAGACTGCAGAAAGATAATGAAAGCCTTCAAGGAAAACACAGCTTGCATGTGTCCTTACAGCAGGCTGAAGATTTCATTCTACCAGAAGCAGCAGAGGTAAAACATATTTAAATCATTAACACCAACAGTGCTTGTGACTTGATCTCAGTGGAATATTACTCTTTATCAAAAAGCTGTTTCAGATAACACAAAGAACAGTAATTGGGATTTTAACCCTGTGAGTCTGTGATGGGCAAAACCAGAGTTGTGATGCCCCTGTGCCATGGCTGCCTCAGGGCATGGATGGATTGTAAAACCAGTTACCTGTGGGCTGCCAGCTGCTCTGTGCTCAGTGCAGGGTGGGTTTGGCCCAGTCCAAGCTGCATTTTTGCAGCTGAGCACACAAGTGTTCAGTCAGCAGGGCCCCACTGTATTGATTCAGTAATTCAAGTGAAGTCAGTCACTTCTGCCCAGTTAAGGCCAGCAATAATCCAAAGCCTTGAGTAATGATAAGCCTTATCATCCCTTCCATGGCCACTCCCTCAGTTAATCCTAAAGGATTTGGTGGGGCTGAAGGGCAGGAGGAGCATCCTAAACCCATGAGGATGTGAATCATGCCTTGTTTTCATTTCCTGTGGCCAAGCAGACTGTGAGTGGAGTTCCTTGCTGGAAGCAGGGTCTGGGATGTCAGGACAGAGCTGGGGTGTGGGACAGCAAAATGCAAAATGCACATTTCTGCTGATCCTTGATGCAGGAGCTCCGGGAGCTGATCCTCAAGTACCGGGAGGACATCATCTGTGTGAGGACAGCAGCAGATCACCTCGAGGAGAAGCTGAAGGCTGAGATCCTCTTCCTGAAAGAACAGATCCAAGCTGAACAATATCTGAAAGAAAATATAGAGGAAACTCTACAGCTGGAAATAGAGAATTGCAAAGAGGAAATAGGTGAGCAGGGGTGAAACAGTCTCAGAATAGGAATAGAAGAAATTAATAAGTTGCACAAAGACTTGATTTTGTGGTAGACTTACCTGAATTCTAAATACTGTCCACTTTTGAAAGCAGAGACACCAAAGCTATGCAGCTGAAAACAAAAGTACAATTATTTGTTTGCTTTTGAAGTCCCTTTGATGTAACACGAGCTTAATTCTCCTTTAAATATTAACAGAAGTAAACAGGGTATGAACAATTTCTTGTGTTTCTTGCATTTAAGTTGTAATATTCTTGTTTTTCAGCTTCCATTTCCAGTTTAAAAGCTGAACTGGAAAGAATAAAAGTGGAAAAGGAACAGGTAAGAAGTCCTTTCACTGTGGGATTTTTGGGTTTGGTGGTATGGGGTTTTTTAATAAAGGATTTTTTTCTCTTTCCCATTTTGATGCCAGTGTAGGAGTAGGACACATTAATAGTTCTGTTCCTTAAAAGGTGTTTGATCTGTTTTTTGTAATCTGTAAGCAAAATATTGAATTAACCAATTCCTAACTAATACTAGACTACCTAACACTGACCTAAATGTCAGGTTTGGGCATTTCTCTCCAGCTCCAAAAGTAAATAAATGGAGAGAAAGTGATGTTATTCAGGGGTTTTCTCTGCCCCTAGAAGAGATTATTTAAGCATGTTTCTGAGTCTCAGAAAGATACTTAGACTTCCTTATGGAGGGACTGTGGGAGATGGAAATATTGGGAAGTTTAGTTAATTTTTATTATTTTTATTACTATACAGTTGGAAAGTTCTTCACAGGAAAACCTGCAGCAGCTGGAGAGTCTGCAGGAGGCAAAGAACACTCTAGAAGAACAGCTGAAGAAGGAGACTGCAGCAAAGGTAGCTGTGATGTGTGGATGTGAAATGTATCTGCATCTTTTGTGATGAGCAGCTGTGGCAGACAACGGGGCACTACCTAAGAGTGAATAAAACAGAAGCTTTTGAATGTTGGTAAGGAAGTGGCAGGGCAATAATATCCTGTGGATGTGGTTTAAATCCTCAGCCCTGTTTTCACTGGGATTTGTCAAGTGGTGGGTCTGAATTGCTGCTGACCTGAACATCCTTTGGGTTGCCCTGCCAAGTGAAGGCTCAGGAACATTCCTGTGCAGTGTCCTGATAACCAAACCCTGGGTTCAATGCTTTGAGCCTTTTGAATAAATGGTTATTTTGGTTGCTGTAGGAAGGGGCTTTACTGCAGCACTCAGCTGAATCAATGGTGATTTGATCACTCACTCTCTGCCCTCTCTTGTTGTGGTTTTGGTTTTCTATGCCCTTCCCCCCAGCACTTGTGTGACTGAAGCTCAGGACAGCAAGGCAGTTGTACTGCCAGCAGCAAATTACTGCCCTCCCCATGAGCTCACTTCACTAAAACTCAGAACTCTGCCTTTGTATTGTGAGATCCCTGCTCATGGTGCTGTTAAAGGACTTTGGGTTTTTCATGCTTTGACCAGTCTATTGGCACCTGCTAATGGGTATTAGCCCCTGATTTGGCACTTTGGAAAGCTGAGGTGTGGAAAGACTGGTTCAGTTTGTTGCAAAGGCCCTGTGAACACTGTGCTGCTTTCCTCTGATATCTTGCTTTAATCAGTTTATAGAAGCTGCTGATTTTTATTCAGTTCAAGCATAAAGAACCTTTTCCTCCTCAGGCCAACCTTGAGCAGCTGGTGTTTGAAGAGAAGAACAAAGCCCAGCGGTTGCAGACTGAATTAGATGTCAGTGAGCAAGTGCAGAGAGACTTTGTAAAGCTTTCTCAGACACTTCAGGTAAGAGAGACCCATCCATGTGCAAGGGCTACTTCAGTTTCATTGTTTCTCCAGAGCTGTGTAAAATAAGAAATAGCAGTTGTAAACTTTCTTATGTTGGTATTTATGATCTATTTTAGAATTTATTAGTGCAATAAACTGATCAGGTATTCCTACTATGACATCATTATTAAAGCTATTGGGATTCCATTCTGATTATTTGATTCCAGCCGATTTTCAGTTATTGTACTAAAAGAAACTGTACAGAACCAAAGATGATGGCTCTTCCAGACCTTTGTTTTCCCTTCTCCATCTCCTGATGCTTCTAATGTGATATTTTCATAGCAAAAATTCACATACAAATATTTGAGGACAAAGTAAGGAACTGGTACTGCTTGATCTGAAGATATGAAATGGTTCTTTGTGTTACAGTGACTGTTTTCTGTTTATACATTCTAAAAGTCTTGTCCTTGCTATTGTCTCTGTTATCCTTGTATTTCCTCCACCAAGTGGAACCTGGTTGATGTGAGATGCCAAGAGGTGGCTGAGGGGAGGAGTTTTGTCAGAGATGTCCCCGAGGCTGATCCTGGTTTGCCAGGGTGTTCTCTGCTGCAGTCTGTGTGTGCACAGGGACTGTCAGTGTCCTGGGTAAGCCAGGCTGGACTGGGCTCACCTGCAGGGTCTGTGTTTCCAGCGTTTGCACCCCCTTTATGTTCCAACTTTGCTCACAGAGGAGGTGCTGAATTTCAGCCCCATCTCCTTGGAGTCCTTGGCCAGGCCCTCAGTGACATCCAGCAAAATTCAAACTACATATTTTCTGAGTCAGGCATTCATGTTTAATTGGAAAATTAACACCAGACTGTGGGAGATTTGTTTACTAGACACAGTTTAGCTGGATGGACAATAGAGGTCTGTCCTCTCTGGTTCTGTGTCTGGAGGAGTTGGTAGGACAAAGGAGACCATTGAGTTGTCCTGCCTAGGGAAGTTGCTTCTTGTTTTTCCCCATCCTCACTTTTTGTGTTTAAAGTCCTGCAGGCACTGGTTTCTGCAGTTCTTAGATCAAACAGCCACCACTTTGAAGATGTCTGGTGGACTCTTCCACAACTTGCAGGTAGTTTAGTGACCTTCAGTATGAGCTTAGGAAGAACTGTTCCTCTGTGTTTTGTGTTTTCCTTCTGCCCTGAGCAGTTTTTGCATGTCAGTTTGTGCTCCAGTTTAGGCAATGGTTGTGCCATGTGCACTGTACACAGTGTGAGGTGACCATCAGAGGAGGATTGTGGTTTCTTGGCAGGGTTATTCCCTTCCCTGGCCTTGTCAGTGAAAGCCTGGGCAGGTCCCCCTTGTGTGAGGGATCCACTGGCCTGATTAGTTATCAGCAATTCAGAGGAAGGGCTAAAAAGCAATTAAATGCTGCTTGGGGATTTATGACTGAAAGCCCAGATCCTATTGCAAAGAATGTGAAAGCTTGAGCGTGAGAAAGAAATCAGTTGTGCTCTCTTTGCATTGATTTCACCACAGTTCTGCTGACCCCTTTTTCAGCAGATAAGAAATAGCTTAAACTGGACACCAGCAAAGCAAGGAGTGAGCCTGGGAATGGGATGTTTGCTCCAAGAGCTTTTGGCTGTGATCTTGAGAGGCTCCAAGGCACGTGTAGGGCTGCTCCTTTACATTCTTCTGGGGAATTTACTTTGCACATCTCCAGTTTGCCAGCACAGTGTCAGTGACTGGACATGAGACAAAACAGAGTGCTGGTGATGGCTGGAGCCCCCCGGAAATGGGGTTAAAATCACAACTGCATCATGTCTGCCTGCCTCCCATTCTTGGGCACAAATTTAGTTTGTGCTCCTTCACCCCTTGCATTTCTTCAGCCCCTGGTGATTTGGGTCCCTCGGGGCTCCCTTTGGGCCAGGTCAGAGCCTGGCTCGGGGCTGTTGCCCGTTGCTGATGGTGGTGCCTGTTTGGTTCCCTGCAGGTGCAGCTGGAGAGGATCCGGCAGGCAGATTCCCTGGAGAGGATCCGTGCAATCCTGAACGACACAAAACTGACGGACATTAATCAGCTCCCTGAAACATGACACCCTGCTGGGCTCCGAGGCTGCTCTGGGTTTTTAACTCATCTTTATAGCAACATTAATTATTATTTAACTCTAACCGAGAGAGCAGAGGACAACAGAGGGGAGCAATGACTTAAGTTTTGTTTCTAGAGGGGAAAAAGGTTTCGTACTGGGCAGGAGGAGAGCACAAGGGTGACTTGTAGTGTAGGAAGGAGAATTTCTAATGGAAACACTAATGAGTGCAGTGTTTCGTGTTCCACTGAGTGGGATCAGTCCTTACATTCTGAAAAACTTCCCTCTTTCAGCCGACTTCGTAACCTAATATAGAGTTTTGGAACATATACCCCTGTCTTTCCCTCTGTCCTTTCCCCCACTACTGTGATCAAAGTAGCTGCTGGAAACTGTATTGTCCCTCCAAAACGTTGAAGAGCAAAGTGGTTGAAGTTTTTCTGTTTGAATAGTCAGTAACAGTATTCAGCTAGCAGAGAGAATGAGGTGTAGAGTATGCTGTATGAATATTTTATATTAAAATATGACTTTATTAGCAGGACACTGGATATTGATCTTATTTCATAACTCAGTACTTTTTTTTAAAACCATTGGCTCTGTGAAGAATCTGAATGCTGCTGAAATGTGGATATGAGTGAGTTGTGTATCTCCTGAACAGATAAATGCTAATCCAAAAGAAAAAGAATACTGTACTGAGAATTTAACTCCTTGCCATTTTTCTGTTGAATTCAGATACTGAAAGAAAAGCACAAGAAATGCACTGTTTTGTAATCTCTTTTCAAAAATGTAACTTAGAATATGGAGCTACAACCGGTTGTTTCTCATCTCCTAAAGCTGAGCAGTGCCTGGAATCCCTTCTCTGTGGAAAAAAAAAAACAAACAAACAACAAACCAAAAACCAAGCAAACAAACAAAAAACCCAAACAGAAAAAAGCTGGTAAAAGTCATGTGCATGTCTGAGCTTTGGCCTGAGGTGGTGCAGGTGTGCTCTGCTCTGGGGGTGGCACAAGGGGTGAAGGCAGGAGCTCTCTGGGGAAGGTGTGGAGGGCAGGTGCTGAACGAACGAAGCTGTTCTTGACCCCTCTGCTGGGTCACCCTCGTGCAGGAGCTGCAGGATTTTTTTGTGCTGCTGCAGCTTGGAGGGGCCAGTGCACCTCTTTGGTGTCCTGGTGGCTCCTTTGCTGTCCCCTGGTGCTGCTCCCAGACAGTTAAATTACACTGAGGAATGTGGCTGCAGAGGCAGGAAATTCTTGTGATCGCTCAGTTGGCAGGTTTGGGTTTCTTGTTCTGTAAATGTCCAGAGGTAACATGAGCATTCCTCCTCCTCCTCCTCCTCCTGCACTGCTGGAGTTCCTCCTGCACTGCTGGAAGGATTCCTGAACTCTTGCAGGTGTTGATGATCCTGGTGGTACAAACCCAATTCTTGAACTTTACAGCTCAGTTAAAAGGAGGCTGAAGGAGCAGATCCCGCTGTCCAAAATCCTCTTAGGCTTTTCCTCCATTCCTTGCTGTTTTTTTCTTCACATACTTGGCCAGAGATCTGCTTTTCTTCATCACCTTCGAAAGTGACAGAAAATGCTCCAAACTGCAATGCACATTATATATTTTAAGTGCTTAGATCCTATTTTTAGTAGTGTATATCCTGCTACTGACATAAAGTCAGAACCAGTGGTTTTGAAGAGGAATGCCTTAAAAACAGCCAAAAAAACATCATACAAGCTCAATGCCTTGCCACTCATTACAAGAATTAAAGCATTTTATTCACCCAAGCAATTAATTCCCTTCATAATCCTGACACCCAGAAGCAATTTTTCCCACCTTAGTAATGACTAACAGATGGCAGAGCTGTCATGTCTGCAGATGACACTTAACTTTCACATAAAGGTGATGTTGAAGGGTGGCTTGAGTCTTACTTGGCTATTACCAGGGTAGGGATTTTTTACCCCTTCTCACTATTTGCTGAACTGTGGGTGCCAGCAGCCAGGTCCTGATGCATAAATCCAGGACCAGATGTTTTCATTCAGTTTTCCAGTGGCTGGGTAGACTTTGGAGACAAAGTCCTTTAGTAGGAGCTGCAACACAGAAAGGAAAGCTTTTTTCTCCGTTCCCACCCTTCCTTGCCAAGAAATAACATGTAACTGGTTATGGGCTTAGTTACTGTAACTGGTGACTGCTCCACCTGTGCAGGAGGTGCAAGGAAGCCTCTTGCATGGCAAAACTACCCCACATCCTGTACCCTCTTCAGCAAGCTGAGTGCTTGAGGAACTGAGACTCGAAGTCTTTCACAGTAAAATATTTTTGGTTGTGTTTCTGGGTGGTCCCAGCGTGAGAAAGCAGGGGAAGGGGAAGGGGCTGTTCCTGGCTTCCAGCATCTCTTACTGGTCCCTGTGTCTGGCCTGTTCTCAGCAGCCCTCTCTGCTCTGAACACCCCTGGCTGTGCTGGCTCAATGTTTCAGGTGCTCCAGGGCTGGGTGGCTTTTCTTTGATGTGTTTTTATGGCTCACGGGCACAGCTTTCCCCAGGTGTGGTGGTGTCAGGGTGAGGTCATGGCTGCAGCCTCGAAGGAAGGAGGCGAGTGGGGCAAGTGCTTTGTGCTCCTTGGTAGCCCCAGGGCCAGTGGAGCTGTTCCCAAGCACAGATCTGCAGGCCGGGGGGGTGTGCACTGTGTGCTTTGCCTTGTTTGTGAACCAGGCACTGCACAAGTCCCTGGAGGAACTTCCTTTGGTGTGCAGAGGACGGGCAGGCAGTTCTTGCATGGTTGTTTTCCTCTTCACCACCCTGTTCCATCACTCACCTGGACACTTGTGCTCCTGTCTCAGTACCAGCTGTGACCATTTTAGTGTTGGAACACGAGTCACCTTTTTTCACCAACTGCTGTAATGTCAGACTTTTAAACAACTCAGTTTGAAATTGGAACCCTGGCTGTTCACTGGTGGGAGATGTGCTCCCTGCAAACTGCTGTCCCTCCTGGGGAAGGACAGCAAAGCTTCAGCAGCAGCAGCCGAGCTTCTGCTGAGCTCAAAGGGGCCTTTAAAAGCAAAACAAGACTGTGTGTGCCAAATTTGCAGAGCAAATTTAAAAGATTGTAAATGTAGGAAAAGCTCTTGGTGTACTCACTGGATGATGGATTCTGGTGTTACTGCTCGTGAACATGAGAAAACAAATGGTTTTCCTTCCAGTTCTGGGTGTTGTGGAGCCTGGCTGGGGCCAGGGTGGCTTCTCCTGTCTCAGGCAGTGTCACCTGCCAGCTGTGACACGGGCTGAGCTGTTGGTAACAGGGCCCAGATGGAGTTCTGTCTGCATTCCTGTACCTGTATAGTCTTAACCTGTACAAAGTGTTCTTGCAGCATGTCTGGTACCCGGTCCCTCCCAGCAGTGCCCCCCTGTCCTAGCAGTGCAGTCACTCCTGTTCCCCCTGAGCTTCACCGTGGCGCCTTTTCCAGGGGCAGGGGGGAGGGACAACAATTCCTCACTGTCCACTAGAGTCTGTCTACAGCAGAGACTGGATCGGCCTTGTAATGGCAAGAAGGACTCCAGAGCCATCTTTTGCAAGAGGCAAACAGTGTTTGGAAGTCAATACTGCATTCCAGTGAGCCAAGCCATTGGTGTCCTGTGCAATCGTGGGTGTAGAATTCTGCTGTCTCCAGGATTCCAGTGTAACCATTTGTTAACTGTACTGAAGGTGTGTCCTTTATGGAGAAAGTGTTCCAAATTAAAAAAAGCTGCTGAAGTGTGTGTGTGCACGGCTCTGGTCTTTCTCCTCTGCCTCCTGCCAGACTCCCCGCAGGGAACCCCTGATGGATCAAGGGTGGGAGCCTATCCCAGGATAACCCCAGGGAGCAGCAAGTATTGCCCTCTAACACCCTGAACATCAAACACCTGCAGCACATCCCCTTCCCATGAGAAAAACAAAAAACACAGCATGTGAGGAATCATATCAAAAGTATTTTATTTCACAATTCTTTACAAAATAATAAGTAAAAGGTGTATTGTTCAACATACAAATGGTAAATATACAAGGGGGAAGAGCAGAGGCAGGTAAAGCCCATCCAGCCTCGGGGTGCAGGGTCCTCTCCAGGGACACGTCAGAAGTTCACGTGGCTCCTGATGTCGTTGATCTGTTTCACCATCTCCCGGATGTGTTCTCCCCTTCAAGAAAAAATACCCCAAGTCAAAAGGCTGCAGGTGGCACCTGCACAGAACTAAGCAGGAAGGGAAACACTTCAGATGGTAGAAGCAGAGAATGGGAGCAGTGCCTGTCATCCCAGCCTGGATTACAGACTGCCCTGGGATCCTGGGGAAAAAGCACTTCCATACACACAGTATAGAGTGCTGCTCTCAGGATCTGCACAGCCTGTGCTTCAGCCCCTCTCCCCCAGCCCCGCCTGCAGCACGACCCAAATGACACCTGAGACACCTGCACTGAACGGGAGGGCTCAGGTTCTTCAGGAGCCCAGCTTGCACTTACTCCTCTCTCAGGACAGCCTGGATGCACTTGCTCTGGTAGGCACTGAGGCTGATGCTGGGTTTGCGGGGGCTTCGGCCCTTCTCCATCTGTTTCTGTTGGTATTCCTTCTTCATTTTCACCTGGGACATGAGAAGAAAAGAGAAGGCCCCAGTCAGTGCTGATCCTGCCTGCCACTGAAAGCACAACAGACTGCGGTGTTGTACTGCAGTTAACTGGTTCTTTCTGGGTTCTAATCTGCCTGCTTTTGCACTTCCCACAAAGAGAAGAAATGTCCCTGCCAGGATGAGGAAGGGGAAACGCTCTGAGGGCTTACAGTGAGTGCAAAGGTTCTGCCTGTATTACCAACAGGGGCCCAAAGCCCATTTAGTACATTGGTGCTAATGAACACAAGTGCAGCATCACTGAGGGAGGAGCTGTCAGTGACCTCCCAGCCTGGCCATTCCTCCTCTCACCTGTCTGATAGCATTGCTCAGGTGCTGCAGCTGGTCATGGATTGTCTGCAGTTCCTTCTTCATATCTTTTTCAGTGTCAGACAGAACAGGAAGCTGAGAGTGGAAACTCCGAAGGACTTTCTTCATCCTTTGAGAGCAAGAAATGTCTCTGAGTTAACTTCCCTGGTACCCAGCTCTGCTCAAACACCTGCAGCCTGGTGCTTTGGCCACGTTCCCAAGTCTCAGGGGTTTCACCTTTCCCTTCTATTGGTCTCAGATGGCATTTCTGAGCATGGGGCTGGCTCAGGCTGGGCCTGCAGACAAATCACACCAAGCCCCAGCACAGGGAATTTCAGAAGCCCAGCCTTGTAACAAACCAGCGCAGCAGCTCCTGCCACTCTGTTGTACCACACTTGCAAACCTTGTTAAACAGCAGCGGTGTGAGGTGAAATAGAGCCCTGTGTGCACTCACCTGTTCATGATGTCTTCTTGCTTCTCTTTGGCTTCCTCATACTTGTCAGCCAAGCGCTCGGCCATTTCCCGCAGACTTTTCCTTAAGGCAAGGGAACAGTTCCTTACTTGAGATTCACACACAGGACAAGCCAGGGTGTGGGAATAGGCCAAGGAAGCTGAAGAAGCCAGGCTGGAGGAGGCAGCAAACCTACAGACTTCACTTGTCACCTGTCTCAGGGCCTTGTCCAAACCACCACTGGTGTGTCATTCCTGAGGTCTGACTTGATAAAGGAGACAGGTTCTACTCACCTCTCCTCTCGACAGTAATTCAGATCCTCCAGTTGTTTCTTTTTCTGCCCCCACAGCAGCTTCACTCTGAAGTAAACACATATCAAACAAAAATCAAAA